AACCATGCTGGGACTGAAACACAAGTTTGGTTCAGTGTATCATCCTCAGTCCCAGGGAAAGGTGGAAAGGATGAATCAAACGCTAAAGGTCAAATTGGCTAAAATCTGTGCACAGACCAAATTAACTTGGTTAGATGCTTTGCCCCTTGCTCTGATGTCCACACGGAGCTCAGTTAACAAAACCACAAGGTTCACTCCCTTTGAACTACAGACTGGACGGCCGTTTCCAGGACCCACCACAAATCTACCTCTGACTGCTGACTTGACTGACTCCCTCGACTCAAGGTCATATTATAATCTGTTGCATAGTCTTGTCTCTCAGTTCTCGTTACAGGTTAAGGCTGATCGTACCACCACAGATGCCCCATCTCCACAACCTGGGACAGACTGGGTCCTGCTGAAAGTCACCAAAAGGAAGTGGACGGAACCGAGGTGGACCGGACCCTACAGGATCACGGAGAGGACGTCACACGCTGTCCGGCTGGACGGCAAAGGAGACTCCTGGTACCATTGGACCCAGTGTGCTGCTGCGGAGGAGCCACACCGCACCCTGACCGAGGTCCAAGAGAACCTGTCTCAGAGGGAGGAGCCTAACCTGGAAGAGAAGCAGCCGACATCTGCCTGACCAGAAAAGTACCTAAGGACCAGGACGAGAAGCAGCTGACATCTGCCTAACCATAAAAAGGATTCAAAAAAAAAAAAAAAAAAAAAAAAACCAGGAAGAGAAGTAGCTGACTACAGTAGCGTGCCAAGCTACTAATTCTGCGGGACGAGGTAGCATGCCAAGCTGCCACCACATCCTGCGGGACGAGAATATTGATATCATATCCCCCTGCAGCTGCCTGGAGCCAGTGGAGGGACCTCAACAGGGGGAAGAAGTAACCACCCTATGAACATTCTACAAGGGTTCTATTTAACACCCTCATTTATCTTACAAGGGTTATATTTAACACCCTCCATTTATTTTATCTGGGTTCTATTTCACACCCTCATTTATTTTACAAGGATTATATTTTATACTCACTACTCATTTTTATTATTACTCATTTACCTGTTTAGTATTAGATATATGTTTGCGCTCATTGCATTTCTACAAACTTAATGTACATTCTGATCACTCATTTGTCCTGGCCGGAAGAAGATTCTGAGGGTAACATAATTCAACGAGAATCCTTTCCAATAGTCTGGTATCCAAGTAAACTAAACCGGTTGGCATACAGGGACAGCAGGTTGGGGTTGTGGAACGACAGATACTTTCGCGATTTCACTGACCTAGAAGATTTGGTAACAATAGCAATTTTAGACCATTGCCATCTCTCCTCCACCTGCTGACCCAATTATCCAGGTGCCCTTGTTACTAGCCAATCCTAACATCTATTTGGGAGGGTAACCCTCTGATGATAGTGATGACTCTCATGATGAAGAAGATGTTGTTAGAGTGTGAGAATGTTCAGTGATTTATGTAACAATCCCTTCACCAGTTCATTTCTATGAGTTTTTTGATTGTTTTGTTGTTTTTATTTTTTGATCTTTGATGTCCTAGGCATGCCCACTCTGTGCCAAAAGGCGTTCGTCCCAAAATTGTGATATGAAAAATGGGAGGACATGGGGGAATTTTCCCTATTAACGTACGACAATTAGGGTTTTTCGCCCTCATACGGGTGTGCATGCGCTCCATACATGTTGTAACATGTTCAGTTGAAAGTATGATCATGTTTTTTGTATTAGTTTACTGCTAGAAATATGAGTAAATGTAATCTGATTGGTTGTTTGTATTGGTGTTTTACAACTCTGCTTATTATATTCTTTTTGATGAAATTTGGTGTTGTTGTTTTGATTTCCTACATCTTTGTTGAACTCTTAAAAGAGTTCAAAAGGGGGATTGAAAATATACGTATCCACCTTATAAGCTTCTTTTATATATTTACCTTATAAAGCTCAGTTGTATTACTCTATGATATGTACACTTGCTTAGATGGTCAAGGCCTCTACACAAAGATTTACAGCAGCATGTTCTGTTCTGCAACCTTGTAGGGAGCGAGCACATTCCAGCTCCTCTCTGCACCGGTGAAATGTATCTTCATGTATCAGGATGCTCCTAGTAATCTCAAGGATGCATGTTCTAGTGATGTATTAACTGTCCACTAACAAGGCTGTTATTTTCACCTGTCATGACCAATGACGTATGTACATGGCAAACTGCGTATGTAACATTCCTGTAATCTTCAATAAAAATCAGCCGTTTTCAGTAGAACGGCGGAGAGTCTGTCCGAAGCAGCTGGCAAGAGCAGGTCGCGGGACCTGCTGCAAAAGGGCTCTCCCCCTCTCGAGCGGTGAAACAGTGACTGGACTCCTCTGATCATTTGTCTCCTCATTCTACCAACTCAAAAGGTGTTTAACTCCATCTTCTCCGTACCCGTGCTTGGTCTAACAGAAGAAAAGACCAACAGAGTGTACCCTGCCTGATTGCCCGTTGACCGCTGGAGATGGGCACCAGGGCAGCTGTGGCTACATTGTAGCTCATCCTCACCAGCGTGTGAATGTGTGAATGACTGTGCTGTAAAGCACATTTGAGGGTGGTGGAACCCTAAGAAGCCACTATACAAATACAGACCATTTACTCACCTTGCCTGTTGGTGATGGTTGGAATGCACTGGATTTTCTTTGCTTTCCCAACCCAATCCCATTGTAAAACAATATTCTTCTCCTAATATCAGATTGCAAGTAAAAATAAAATTCCCTCACACATTTCAATTCCAATAAAATAATTCCCACTCCCTCCCAGTCCCAGCAGGTGTTTCTTTTGGTTTGGCAATTATAAGCAAAACCAAAAAACAAAAAAACAATCACAACGATGTAAGGTCTTTCCAATGAGTTACTGACAACTTTATCCAACTTTGTCCTCCGTGAGACACTCCCACGTCTGTCTGTTTGACAGGAATGGGTTAAAAGTTTTTGCAAACACTGGTCAATGACTAGTGGCTAATTTGTTACTATAAGTCACAGCCGCGATCCGCCACAGTTGAAAACATTGACAGAAACAAAGATGAGTTGGAGGAGTGAATTAAGAGGCAAAAGGCCCCCAGTGGTTTTAGCTGGAGCGCTTGGGTCAAAGTAAATATTTAATCAGTACAAATAAATGAACTCAAGTTTCAACTTTGCTGTCTTTGTCAGAAAACTCTGACAAAGACAGCAAAGTTGAAATGATAGTTACTTTGACACAAGTGCTCCAACCTTCTTCTTCCACTTTTGGTCCTAGCTGTTGAGAACCAGTACTCAGCTGGATGAAGCACTGTGTGCCTATTTAATAAACTATGAGCTAAAAGATTCAAATTAAGAGTTGAAATTAATTAAACAGGTGTCTTATGCATAGTGAGGATTAGGGATGCACCGATCAAGGTTTTTTGCTGCTGATCACCGATACCGATATCAAAGAATGCTGATCACCGATACCGATCACGCGGATTGGCCAGAAATTTTCTACAACATAATGAGTGCTACAAACTACATAATCTGGGAATAAAGGAAATGTAACCTAATCTAAAATGGTCTGTATTAGGGTTGTCACGGTGTGAAAATTTAACCTCATGGTTATTGTGACCAAAATTACCAGTTTTCGGTATTATTGCGGTATTTTTTTTAAACGTGTTACATTTTCACACAATTAAATGAACCCTGTATGTCAGGAAATATTGTCCTCAGTTTGTGTCTAAATTTTGCCTAAAATGTGTTATTTTGTAATTATGTTGTTTATTTGTTTTCATTTTTTCCCTTTAGTCTTTAAAATACCAATATTTGCCCATAACTTCTTATTTTATGTCAGATCAGATGATACTCAGTACTCAAGTAGCCTTCTAATCAGATACTGTTTTTACCCTTACTTGAATTTTAAACCCTATATCAGGAAAATATTGTCCTCAGTTTGTGTCTAAATTTTGCCTAAAATGTGTTATTTTGTAATTATGTTGTTTATTTGTTTACATTTTTTCCCTTTAGTCTTTAAAATACCAATATTTGCCCATAACTTCTTATTTTATGTCAGATCAGATGATAATACTCAAGTAGCCTTCTAATCAGATACTTTTTTTTACCCTTACTTGAGTTTTAAACCCTATATCAGGAAAATATTGTCCTCGGTTTGTGTCCTTCCAGTGACCTTTGCAGATGTGGGAAAATGTCATCAGGCAGTAATCATTGTTAAATTCATAATTATTCTCGAAGAGAGACCAACTCTTATCTGCCCCTGGGAGCCCCGTAATGCATAGCGTCATTTCAACATGGCGGTGTCCGCGACGCGGTTTGTATGCAGGTAGCGGCGCTGCGGCTGCTTTATATAGCGACTCGTTGCGTTCTCCCTCAACCCAAATCCTCGGATCACGCATTTTAGCTAAAACGCTAACGTTAGCTTGCCTTGCGTTGACTGTAGAGTTGTGGGTGATGGTCACGCAGATGTGTCATGAGATTTGAAGCGTTGCTGCCTTTCACAGACACTTTTTCTGCACGTGCTGCAAACAGGATAGCCGTCTTCTATCAGGTGTCCCTCGGCATTCTTCAAATATCTAAAAGATGCCCGTACTTCCCAATTTGTCTTCTTTGAGGGATAATAAATGTCCTCCTGAGCGCTGCCGTCTCCTCCTTTGACCATTATTTCAGCTTTAGCTTCAAGAAAGTTTTGGTCGTAAACAACAAAGTGTGCATGTGCCGCCGGCAACTTCAGCAGATGATACGGTGGCTGGTAAGGGTCACCGCGCCTACATCGCAGCCACGGTAATCCACCGAGATAATAAAGTTTTTTAAAAAACCAGACAGTTATTATTATTGTCAACTTTTTTTTTTACCGGGGTTTACCGCTACACCGGTTACCGTGACAACCCTACCTGATCGGTCTGCTTTGATCTATTTTGAAAACTCCGATCAAAACCGATCGGGACGCTATCGGCCGATTGGGATCAAATGCCGATCCATCGGTGCATCCCTAGTGAGGATGGTAACATTCTTACTTGACTTTGCTGAAGATGATGTCCACGTCAGTGAGGGTAATGTTCTTTCCATCAATCACACCACAGTCCTTGCAGAGCTTGGACCAGTTCTTGCCATGCATCTCCTTGCCAGTAGAGCGCGTGTCTCCATGGATGGCGAAGCGTCTGAATGACTCTTCCAAATCGGTTAGCTCCACTGGCGTGGAGGTGCCCATGCCTCCTTCACTGGTGCCGTTGGAGTCGGATGACAGCTGTTTGGACGTGCGGTCTTTAGCATGTTCGCTGTACAGCCGTAAAGGGGCTGGGTTGTTGTTGCTGTGCTTGGCAGTCTGGACTTTAAAGTCATCTATGTTGTCTCTAAAAGTAAAGGGGACAGTTAATGCAGTTAATCAGCAATCTTAAACTGTGCTTTGAGCCTCTAAAAAGCATTACAACTATTGTGGCTTTCATCTGTCCCAGAAGCCCTGATACAGGCCATTCTAACCATAGACATGGCCAGACCCTGCCTGGCCGCTACTGCCTATGGGCGCTGACGAGCGGTGGCACCGCCATCTTGGATCGGTCGAGCCCCCCCTCTCTGACAGAGGCATTGAAGTGTCAGCATGTTAAATCAACCATAACTCCTTGAATTCTCCACCGATTTTGATGTGTTTTTTTCCCCTGTAAACTTCACACATGTAGCTTTGATACAGGACACATGTTTTAGTGTTTTTAATCATAGTGGGTGTGCTGTGGGTACATATGTGACTCTTGTCCAGAGCGTAGTGTCAAAACCTATAGAAAACAAAAGATTAATCACTAAAAAATCAGTCAAACAATGAGAATCAAAATAATTTAAAAAAGTTCATACAACAGGTGTGTGACACCTATGGCAGGTATTAAAAAAACACAATATATGATAGAGAAGCAGAAACTAATACTCAGCAAATTTAATAAACAATATATGTAATATAATTCTTATAGATAACAACTGGTGTTTGCGTAAATCATATACATATCAATTTTCAAGAAACTCCTGAAGACCCTGCTCTTCAGAGAGCATCTTCTAAACCAGCACCCTCCCTGCACCCGTCCCCCCTCTCTACTGTCCACTCCTTGTTCCCTCCTCCCCATGACTGATGTCAAGTTGTTGTTGTTGTTGTTGTTGTTAGCCTCAAGGGCAACATGCCGATTATCACTTGTAAGTCGATTTGGACAAAAGCGTCTGCTAAATACATAAACATAGTGACATTATGATGCAGAAAGGGTGAGCGAGAACAACTAGAACGAAGTCTGGATGACAAGAACGACAAACCATGCCATCAGAACTGGCTGTTAGAGATGTTCTGGTTCTGTTGTTCTTTTGTGTGTCCTCTTTTTCCTCTTTCTGCAGATCAAGAAGCTGATTCTTGTTTATTTTAGTGAACTCTCCCCATCATCTCTTCCATTGCTTTCCTCCATTCTTTTTCATTTCCATCTATGTGTCCTTTGGGATAAAAAAAACCAAAAGCATCTCTAATAAAGGTTAGATACCAGGTGGAGGATTACAGCTGAATCTATCATGCTCTACCTGTGAAAGTAAAACTGTTTTCAGTACTCAGATATCAGTTCTGGTTGCTTTACAGCCAGACAGGACACAGGAAGAGAGAAACAAGATAACTGACTGCTTAAAGGAGTTGATTTTATTTGTTATATCTTAATTTATCTGTTACTTGTGTTGAGATTTTTTTTTCAAATAGTAATTGAAAGCTTTACATGAGCTAAAACCCCTGAAAGAGGACTGGTTTGTAGAACTTTTATCTGGAGCTCCCCTTCTGCAGTTAGAGAGGTGAGATCGGCCATGTGGGTCTGTCTTCTCTTTAGGACCTCAGACGTAACCAGTAACATCACGTCTGACAGCCGTGGCATCAGCATGAGTACTGCACATTTGTGTTTAGCCTGGTCTATCTGGCATCTTCTTGTTCAGGCCAGGCTCATCATCCACCAACCACAGCCTCCTGTAAGAGAGTAGAAACATATTTAAAAGTGCAAGATGTAGAAATGAAGTAAAAATGGCAAAAACAAAAAAAAAAAAAGGTTGCTGCAACCACTTTCAGTATCTCTGGAGGTTTTTGCCAGGTGTTGTCAAATTACAGTTGTGGGCGCTGAAGTATTAGCTTACAGGAGACCCCCCCCCCCCCCCCACACACACACACACACACACACACACTGATAGTAAACAATTTTTACATCCCTCCTTCCTTTGTCTTGAAAGGAGAAAAACTGACAACCCAGCAGCCAGCTGGCTGTGAAACATGTTTCAGTAGAACCTCCCTTCCAAAATGACTGAAACATTAGACTCCTTGGGGATTTTCTTACTGTAAAATCTTCACTATATTCTTAAATACTGCACCTTTAACATATTTGCATCAGTCACTTCAAATACTTGAATTGGCCAACATTAAGACTTGCTTTGTATTATGTGTGGGTGTGGGAGGGGCTAAAATAGTCTCTCTGAGGTGTCTGTGTGTGTTCACTTCACATACATCCATTTGAATCCACTTTGTGTGTGTGTGTGTGTGTGTGTGTGTGTGTGTGTGTGTGTGTGTGTGTGTGTGTGTGTGCGTGTGTGTGTGTGTGTGTGTGTGTGTGCGTGTGTGTGTGCGTGTGTGTGTGTGTGTGTGTGTGTGTGTGTTAGGGGTTGTACGAACTAGTCGACTAGTCGACTTCACGGCTCTGTAGTGACTTTTTATGCCTGTCATCAACTAGTCGCTGTCACGTGATAATGACTGACAAGATGCAGTCCTCGGAAAAGACAGCAGGTGATGAGCCCCTGCGCGTCTGGATCGAGGCGGAGGCGACGCGCTGTGCGGTACTGATACCGGCGGTAAAACGGACATTTAACCAAACTGTGACCTTTTCCCTCTTGCAATTTAACCTTCCCCTCACCCCCATCCTAATCTTAACCAGTTTGCGCATGCAAAGCTCTGATCGTTGACGTGCGCTCCAGACATTGCGTCCTGAGCACCGCCAAATCAGGTGTCACCACCTCAAAAACAAATTAAACACGCGATCGTTCATGTCGGCTCATTTCCTTTCATGTTTTCTGTCTGTTATTTGTGCCTGATGCATTTCGCTGCTGCGGAGCGAGGCGCATCACCCGTTGTCCTCCGGTGACGCACCCCCAAGATTCCACTATCTCCACTCCGCTCCGCTTCGGCATGAACTCCGCAGCAAAAACGGTCCCGTTGTAGTCGGCCGGCGAGCAGCAGCACTCCGCTGATTTAGCGGTCGGTAGATCTTTTAGAACTGCAGTTCAAAGGTAACTCATGAGGTGAATATATATGAACCCAGGTAGCAGTTTCTCTTTAGGATTGAGAGGAGATGCAGGAAGATAATAAACAGACAGGACAGAAAAACAGTCAAATAAAAACAAGTTAGTTTTTGTACCTGCTGGTTGTAACAAACAGACACCACTGAAGGTAATCAGAAGTGAGGAACAGAAAATGAAATAATTATTTTAATGTTTAGAGCAGCAGGAAAGGCTGCAGGCGCATCAGTGAATTTGCGGCTGCTGCGCAGGGGGAGGGGGGAGAGGGCTGAAGTAGGAAGCAGAAACTACCGTTGTTAAAAGAGATGTGTTAACTTAGAAAATGTGGGCGCAATTTTAATTGTCAAAAACTCCAGCGAACCTACCCCCCCCCCCCCCCCCCCCCACCCCCCGCCGCTTCCGGCGTATGACGTCATCAACGACTAGTCGAAGTCGACTCGACTTTCATTACTTGACTGTCGACTTAAAAAAAAATAAAGTCGTGCAGGCCCTAGTGTGTGTGTGTGTGTGTGTGCAGGGTCATTATATGATGTTTAAATACTCACATCATCAGGCTGAGGTTAGTCTCTGGGCATTCTGGGAGATCACAGACAGGCTCTCTTCAGCTCTTCAGGATGTAGTCTTCATGCACTTCTCTGGTTAAAACAAGGACGACAACGTCCTCTGCTGCCCGCGGATAAACGGAGAAGGAAGTGACGCCAGCCTCAGTGTCAGCTCTGAGGAAATTTTGCAGTCGGCAAACGAAACTGTCAGCAAGGTAAAAAAAAAAAAACTTTTCAGTGTTTCAAAAAGAACCAAAAAATGCAGTTAGAAACAAGACACAGTAACAACATACCAAAGACATGTATGAATGCTGATGGCTTCCTGACACTGAAGGAGAACCAGGAAGCTGAAGAATAAACTCCATCTCTAGGTCTCCCTCCCAGTCTGACACAGCCCAGTTCTGATCAGAATAATTCAGCTGCAGGAAGCCTCACACTTCTTCCTCACATCTTTTGTGGGAAAGCTTCAAAACAAAAGCATGAGATTAGCAGATCAGCGTCTACACAACATTGTACAAAAGAGGTCAATGCTATTTTCTTCATTCTCTTGGGTTATTCCTACTCTTCCGTTTATTTATTCCTTAAATATTCTTAAAATATTTCTTTAACCTAAAACTGCTTTTCTGATGATAATTAACCAAAACTCTTCAAAGGGTGGAACCAGAAAACAATTCTTCAGCATGTTAGCTTGTTAGATAACTCTCCAGGCAGAGAGGAGGGTCAGAGACATGAGATGTGTTTGATACCAGGAAGATTTGTTTGGTTTCTACAGCAGCAATCTTGTTTCAGCCGTAATATAAGTCAGTGTTTAGGAATAAATGATTAATAACGTCTCATTTATCTTCACTGTCAGGGAAACAGCAGCAGTAAACATGTAGCTAACGTTAGCTGGCTAGGAGGTGCTGCTGGTGGACACAAATACAGTAAAGAAAAGTTATATTTACTAAACACAAACAAAAATGCTCAAACTTACTTGTTGAGTAATCCCCCGAGCTCTGGTCTCAATAGTCCGCCGATTAGAGCAAGAATAATCCACACAGAGCTCAAGCATGCTGTCGTTCACTGCTGCTGTTTTGGTTTGTTTCTGCCCGAAGCTTGACCAATCTAAGATGGCGACCGCATTTCCTGTGCCTGAGCGGCCAATAGAGTTCCAGGAGTTGACGTCACTTCTCCCGACATGCAACAGTTCAAATCGTAATGGCGCCATCTTGGCAGGCAGAAGGTCGCAGCTGGACTATTTGTTATTGTCAGAAAACTCAATCAAACGGGAAATATGGTAGATTCCTGTTGTGCCCAGGATGCAGAACAGACGCGAACGACATAAGGAATGAGCCATCTACAGGATTCCCCAAGATCCGGAACACAGCTAACGTTGGATCATTGTAATAAAACGCACTAGTGACCGGGCAAAAATGAAGCTGTGGGATCCCGAGAGTAAAGGTTTTTTGCTTATGCAGCAACCACTTCATATCAGGTACTTAAACCAACGTTTCCTCAACTGTGTATGGTATTTATTTTAAATGCTT